GGGAAAGAGCATGGAAGAGGGGGATTACACCAGCCTTAAAGGCATGTGGGGTTCTTTGCTGGGTGGGCACCAATGGACATGAACTGGAACACAAAATGTTCCACCTGAACATGAGGCAAAACTCCTTGACTGAGGAGAGCAGAGCCCTGGGACAGGCTGGCTATGGGAGGCTGTGGAGTCTCCATCCCTGGAGACATTCCATACCCACCTGGATGTGTTCCTGTGGGATCTATTATAGATGATCCTGTTCTGGCAGGGGGTTGGATTAGATGATCTTCAGAGCTCCCTTTCAATTCTATGAAAAGTCTTTTTCCCAGTTCAAAATTGAAAGTGGGTTTTGTCCTGCCAATGTTGTTGTTCTTCTGAATTTGTCAGAACTTGTCACTATCTACTAACACCTGCTGGGTTCTCAGAATGCTTAATCCTCTCCAGTGCAAGATTTATTTGCCAGATATGAACAACCTGAAGGCTTTACAGTCAGAGCCTAGCTGCTCTGCTTGGAAGCTGGGATAGTAAAGGAGCTAAACTGGGAATGTCTGGATGCTGGCCTCTTGGTGAGCCAGTAGATAAGATCAACCACTGGCTTCCTGTCTAGCTGATGAGTTACTGAAGAGGAAATGGTGAGACCTCCTGTGTATTTCAGCTACCTTTGGTGCCAGCATCAGTGGTGGATGCCCACTCTGTTTCATCTTCTTTCTCACTCCTTGTTTTGTGACACTTCTCAAAAAGAATGTCACTGCTGTAACTTACCCTAAAACCCCTTGCTCACCAGCAAGGTCTGCTCACTGAGCCCATGCACAGGTCTCTGCAGGACTCACTGCAAAAGCCAGACCTGAGTTGGGGGGTCATGAAGGTGGTCAGAGCTGGAGCAGCTCTGGAGCCAGGCTGGGAGAGTTGGGGTGTTCAGCCTGGAGAAGAGAAGGCTCCAGGGAGACCTTAGAGCAGCTTCCAGTGCCTAAAGGGGCTCCAGGAAAGCTGGGGAGGGACTTGGGACAAGGACAGGGAGGGAGGGGATGAGGGGGAATGGATTGAAACTGGGAGAGGGAGATGGAGGTTGGAGATGAGGAGGGAATTCTTTGGTGTGAGGGTGGTGAGAGCCTGGGCCAGGTTGCCCAGGGAAGCTGTGGCTGCCCCATCCCTGGGGGTGTTGAAGGGCAGGTTGGAAGGGGCTTGGAGCAGCCTGGGCTGGTGGGAGGTGTCCCTGCTGAAGGAAGGGGTTTGGATCTGGATGATCTTTAAGATCCTTCCAAACCAAACCATTCTGTGATTAAGTGGGAGTGTCCTTTAGAGCCTGGCTCTCTTCAGGGGAGCAGCTAGTGGTTTCTCAGGTGCATTTGAGAACACAATGGGCCAGTCAATGGGTGAATGTGCTGAAGCACCTGCAACTTCTGCAGCAAATTCCAACACTTGAATCCCTGTTAGAAGGGAAGTGGAATCCTGAGAACGGCCCCAAGCAGGTGGGGAGTGTGTCCTGGTCAGAGTTTTCTTACCAGTTTTGTCAGTTCTTTACCCAAATCAGCAATCCCCTCAGAAGATAACACTGCACACAGGCTGGAAACATCATGCCCTGCCAGAAATCCCTCTTTTCTCCCAGGATCCAGCAGCAAAGAGTGTTTTTCCCACTTCTCTCCAGGGTGCTGCAGTTGATGAACCTGACGGACTCTCGGCTGGCACAGGCTGGGAATGAGAAGCTGGAGTTGGCCATGCTGAGCTTCTTTGAGCAGTTCAGGAAGATCTATATTGGAGATCAGGTGCAGAAGTCTTCCAAGGTAATCCATCCCCATTGCCTACATCTCCTTGGTCATGCCAAGCCCAGGGAAAGCTTCCCTGATAGCTGAAATTATTTCAGAGCCTTGACTGCTGTGTTTCCTAGATCCATTTTCCAGTGTTTTCATTGCAAACCTTGAGCTGGTTTCTGCAACACTGGATTCTGTAAGTGTCAGGAAGGAGCCATGACTGTGACAGTGGCCTAGAACCTGAAACATGCCTTCAGGTTTGTTACCTGCCAAGTTTCTCCTGGCTTCAAAGAGGTCCCTTCAGCCTGGGTACCTGTGAAAGTGTTCAGGCTGTGCTACCTCATGCACCCAGGAGTCGTCTGAGCTCAAGATCTGTCTCTTCCCTCCTCAGCTCTGAAGTGAATATAAATATCTCTTCTCCTTCCCTTCACCACGAGGCAGTTGTAGATTGACTTGGAATGCCTTGTTGCATCTTCAGAGATGCAACATACCTTGTTAAAATAAATTATATATAAATGTATAAATAATATATCTATCAGCAAGTGTAAATAACAGGAAGGTCATTACTCCAGAATGAGATTCTCTTTCTTTCCAGTAACCTATGATCTTGCTTCCCCAGCCTGGAGCCTTCAGAGCAATGATGTGACAAGGGGCTTAGAGCTCCAGACAAAGTCACTGACCCTGTGTGTAGGGACAGGTGGAGGAGCACAGTTGTGTCCCCTTTTCCTGGGGAAAGCAAGAGCCCAGCTTCTGTACACAGTGTCTGAACCTGCTGTGACCCATCTAGGAAGACCCAGAGCATTCACCCTCTTGGGCCTGTGTGCCACAAAGGGAGAAGAATATAAACCCAACCCCTACTCATCTCTTGTTTTGTTGGCAGCTTTTAAATTGGTGTTGTTTTCCCCCCTCCAGCTGTACCGCCGCCTCTCCGAGGTCCTGGGGTTGAATGATGAGACCATGGTCCTGAGTGTCTTCATAGGGAAAATGTAAGTGTTCCTTCCTGCAGGCACCAGAGATTCCAGGGTTTATTTGAAGGTGGAACCAGGAAAACTGGACTATGAGGGAGTGTTGTTCAGTCTAGGACCATCTGGCTACTGGAGAATGACAGGGCTTAAGTCACGTGCAATATCCAGGATTGATTTATCCAGCGTGGATTCTGGCCTGGGCTGTGGAGACACAAAACTAAACCATACACCAGGATAATGGATTCTTTTTCCAGTCCCTGCTTAGCCAAACCAAAGTCAGGGAGGGGACAGCCTCGAGCACTCGTGTCTTACCACTGGACTGTTGGCAATCACCAGCCACGAAAGCTCCAGGGGAGGGGACTGCTCCTTCAGAGGTTTTTCATGGCAAGTTCTGCCCTTCAGTCCCAGAGTAGGACAAGTCCTTGTTCTTTCAAATTCCTCCACTCTGGTAGGCACCCTGTTCAGCCTGTTCCTTGGCAGTTTTCCTCTGGACCCAGCCTGTCCACTGGCTTTTTGTCATGTCTTTGGCAGCCTCCTTTAGCATTTTGAATCAATTCTGTAGCTCCCACGCTGACTCCCAGTGCCGTGTGCCTGGCGACGTGCAGCCAGTAGCTCCCAACTTCTTCTGCATGGCCCCATCTTTACCTGCTTTTGGGGCCTTGCCTTTCCCTCACCCCCAAGGGCTGAAATGGCTCTCCTGGAGGAAGCAAGGGCTACTAGAATTCTGCAGCTGACAGTGGGTGGTGCAGGTGCAGAATTGCATACGTCTGCATGTAGTCACTGCCGCAGAATTCTCTTACCCTTGCTGCAGAAACCAGCCCTGGAGTGCCACAGAATTCCAAGGGCCTGGGTATGGGCCAGTGTAGCTTGGGACCCAAGTAGTGAAGATTATCTGAAGGATAATTTTCTAGTCAACCAAATGTAAGTACAGTGATTTTATACCAATATTTTGTGGCTTGTGATGTCTGTGGTTTCGGTGGAGGGTGGAGCTGATGATGTTGGGTGACTTTTGCACTGGAAGAACCTGCCCACACAGCAAAGGGGAAGCCCAGCAAACCCCTCTGATCCATCCTTGTTGTCCTCTTCCCTAGCATCACCAACCTGAAGTACTGGGGTCGATGTGAGCCTATCACCTCCAAGACGCTGCAGCTGCTCAATGACCTCTCCATTGGATATCCTTTTCAGAGGAGCTGCTGGGTGCACAGGACACCATCATCTTCTTCACCATGAGGGTAGTAAGACACTGGAACAGGTTACCCAGGGAAGCTGTGGCTGCCCCATCCCTGGGGGTGTTGAAGGGCAGGTTGGATGGGGCTTGGAGCAACCTGGGCTGGTGGGAGGTGTCCCTGCCCATGCAGGGGGTTGGATCTAGATGATCTTTCAGGTCCCTTCCCACACAAACCAGTCTGTTCTATACTATGGTTCATCTAGCTGTTGAATTGCAGTAGATGGCTATAATATTGTAAGGGGGTTTTAATTATTATTTTGGGTCATAATTGCTTTGTAGCTTACTACCCATGCTTGGTTAGTTGAGTCACAGACTGCCTTGTGGTCGTCTCCTTGTTCTTCCTGGCCAAGTGACTAAAAAATGGTCTCTGCAGTAGAGCTGTGTGCAGCTTGCTTGCTCCTGAAGCTAAGGGAAGAGAGGCTAGAGCAGACTGAACAATCTAGGCAGAAGTCCCTTGCAGTGATGCCCTGAAAGTGCTTGGAAGCATGGCAAGAAGTTTACTGCTGACTCTGCTGCTTCCTTAACCCCACTGCACGTACAGCAGTGTCAGGAAGCTGGTGAAGCTGAGTGCTGTGCAGTTCATGCTGAACAATCACACGGTGAGTCCTTCCCCTTCTGCTTTTCCTCTCCTAGCAAACTCCTCCATCTGCCTTCATTCAGATAATCCCCTCATTTTTAACACCTGGACACACTTGGGAAGCTTCATGTCTTCCAGGTGTTTCCACTTTACAAGATGAGCTGCTGGAAAAATCTCTGTGTTCCATCTCTCATTTCAAAGCCTGTTCTTCCATTCTGAGGGGCTGTAATTAAACCCTGGCCCAGGTTACCCAGGGAAGCTGTGGCTGCCCCATCCCTGGCAGTGTTGAAGGGCAGGTTGGATGGGGCTTGGAGCAACCTGGGCTGGTGGGAGGTGTCCCTGCCCATGCAGGGGGTGTGACTGGATGATCTTTAAGGTCCCTTCCCACAGAAACCAGTCTGTGAGTTTATGATTCTCTTGGTACCTTCCATGGTTAATGTGGGGGTCTCTTTACTCTCCAAGAAGAGACAGACATTTCCAGGGTGAAATGTGGGAGACAGCCCCAGCTGCTGCCCATGCAGGCAGTCTGCTCTGCTGATGGAATTTAATGCAAAGTACAGCAGCATTCTAGTGTTCCAGCTTTCATTCCAAAAGTGCTGATTGAGAAGAAGTGCCATCACTTGCAGTGCTCAGGAGAGCAGCCTTGTTCTTGATCCCTGCCTGGATCTAGGATGCTGACTGGAAATCAGAAATGGCAGAATCAGCCACCAGGAGCCAGCAGCAGAGTCTCAGATTTCTGGCTTGCCTGTGGTCATTAGGTGCTCTGATGCTGTAGGGACAGGACTCCAGCACAGAAGTTTGGCATTGAGTGGTTTAATCAGGTGCTGTGTTCCTGGAGCTGAGGGATGTTTTGCAGGCAGTCCCACCTCCTGTGTTGGACCTAGAAGCTGTGTTGAGGCTTGGTTGTCTGGGGCCACTGTTTCCTTGGAGAATGTGGGCAGAGGAACCTGGGATGTGTCTGCAGAGAGCTGGTTTCAGCAGCCTGGAGGGGTCGCCATGAGTGAAGGGGCAGATTGTGCATCTCTGCTCCAGGGGCAGAGCAAGACTTCCTTGTTCATCTGCTCCTGGGGAATGCCAAGATGAAAGATGATCTCTGGTGTCTGTCAGCAGATCAGAGGCTGCTCCAGGGCCTGCAGCCACGGTGCCTGTTGCCCTCTGGTGGCCTCTTCTCCCAGATGGAGAAGATGAGAAGCTGGCAGATGTCAAGTGTTGAGCAAGATAACCCAGCAGCTTGCTGCTTCTCATCTTTGCACAGGCTGAAAATTATTCTCCCCCTCTTTTCTGTCCTGGGGTGGCTTCATGTGGAGCTCTGTGAGCAGCACTGGGCTCCCCAGCTCCTAAAGAACAAGGAGCTGCTGGAGAATCCAGCCCAGGGACACTGAGATGCTGAGGGGCTGGAGCATCTGGCTGTGAGGAAAGGCTGGGAGAGCTGGGGCTGCTCAGCTGGAGAAGAGGAGCCTGAGGGGGGATCTCCTCAGTGCTGATCAATATCTCCAGGGGGTGGCAGGAGGGGGGACCAGACTCTGCTCAGGGGTGTCCAGGGCCAGGACAAGGGGCCATGGGCACAAACTGGAGCCCAGGAGCTTTGACCTGAAGAGGAGAAAATCCTTCTTGACTGTGAGGGTGGCAGAGCCCTGGGACAGGCTGCCTAGGGAGGTTGTGGAGTCTCCATCCCTGGAGACCTTCCAGCCCCTCCTGGATGTGTTCCTGTGGGATCTGCTCTAGGGGATCCTGCTCTAGCAGGGGGTTGGACTGGCTGATCTTCAGAGCTCCCTTCCAGCCCCGAGAACTCTGTGATTGTGAGAATTAGACAGAGGAGTGAGGGATCCTCAGCCCTTGGTGCAGGAGCCCTTTCAAGGTGGTGGTTTAACCCCTCTTTAACCCCTCTCTTTTCCATTTGCAGAGTGAGCACTTTTCTTTCCTGGGCATTAACAATCAGTCCAACCTGACTGACATGAGATGTCGGACTACGTTCTACACTGCACTTGGGCGTCTTCTCATGGTGGATTTAGGTACTCAAGGCTTTTCTTTGGAATCAGAGCAAAATGGTGCCTTTGTGGTTTGGCTGCTGGGCTCTGCAGGAGGCTACATCCTGCTGCTTAGGGAGCTGTAAGCTCCAGGATGCTGGAGTGGGAGGAAAGGAGGGGAAAGAAGCTCAGGAGTGGGTTTGGTGCCATGTTGCTGGTCACAAGTAGCCTAGAGTTGCACACCCCCAAGGCTGGGGCTCCCTTTTTCCTTCAGAATACTCCAGATGTTTTCCTGAGGTTACAGATTTTGTTCCAAGCCTCTTCTCTTGGCAGTGATAGATCACCTGGCTGGAAACCTGTGGAGTCTCTGCCTCTAGCTTCGTGGCTGAGCCATGTCTGAGTGTCTGGCACAGGCAGAGCTGCAGGGTGCAGGGATGTGCAGTCTGGTGGTTCCTCATTTGTTGGGTTTTTTTGTCTTTCAGGGGAAGATGAGGATCAGTATGAGCAGTTCATGCTTCCCCTCACAGCTGCCTTTGAGACTGTGGCACAGATGTTCAGCACAAACACTTTCAATGAACAAGAGGCAAAAGTAAGTTGGGCAGCACCTTCCCTGTTGCTCTCCTTACTCATTCCCTGAAGGGCTTTGACATTTTCAGGTCAGACAGGAGAGAACAAGTAGCTCCTGCAAAGTGAGGCCCATTCTGCCCTCTGAAGGAGACAAGGAGATGCTGGGGTGATGGGTGCTGGTTTCTTTTCAGGACCTGGGGGATGCAGTGATCTGCTTTACCCCTTGGGGTGCAGGTGTAGCTGATAATTGAAGCAGTGAGCCTCATCTGCTGGCTTTCCTTCTCCTGGGAATGAAATATCCCAGCACTAGCTCCAATTAGGGAGGAAGAACTTTCTAACCAGGGGTTGGCATCCAGCACAGAAAGGCTGGGTTGCTGTTGGGGTGGGAGGGAAGTGACTCCAGACTGGGAGAGCCAGGGAGGAAGAGATCCATGTATGTCATTGTAACACATCTTTTCTTTTGCAATACAGAGAACTTTGGTTGGTTTGGTGAGAGACTTGAGGGGAATAGCCTTTGCCTTCAATGCCAAGACCAGCTTCATGATGCTATTTGAGTGGATGTATCCTTGTGTTACCCTAAAAATGGAGTCATCCTGTCTGTCAGGGGGAAGAACTCTGTACCCAGATGCCCTGTTTTCCCTGCTAAATCCTGGCTGGGCTTTCTCTTCACTTGGTGTCCTGACTCTAAGCCCTAAAATAGATTTGACTTGGTCTGTCTGCAACCAAGTCAACCTAGAAATGTGCTCAGAGCTGAACTGTTGGGGTTTTTCCAAGTGGACCTAAAGAGTTGTGACCTGTAAAGCACAAAGGCCTTTAATGAGCTGTGTGAGTCTCAGCAGCCACAAAAGCTTTTCCTCATGCTTACTGGGGCCAAGCAGTTGGTGCCTTTGTCCTCTTGGTGAGAGCAGAGCTGCTCAAAGGGCACCTTCTCTGGGCTCCAAAGATTCCTCTTTGGCTGGTGAAGGTCAACTGGCTGATGAGGTGCCAGGTCTTGATATCCATCATCCCTCTGACTCAAAGCTTTTTGGTTTGGTCCTAGTATAAAAACTCTGCAACTCCTTCAACAGAGTGAAGATTTTAATCCAATTTTCCTATGATAAAGCAGCCCCAACAGGCAGCATCTCTGCTTAACCCTGTCATGTAAACTCCTTGGCCAGGTTTGGGTGCAGTCCACAAAAAGATGCCTTTTTGGTCCAAATGGTGACCTTTTCTCATCATGCAGAGGAACCAAGTTCCTTAGCTTTCCCCCTGCAGCTACCCATCCTACATGCCAATCCTCCAGAGGGCAATTGAGCTGTGGTACCACGACCCAGCCTGCACTACACCTGTCCTCAAACTGATGGCTGAGCTGGTACATAACAGGTACGAGCCTCCAGCATCTGAAAGCTGGCAGGGATTTGTCTGGCTGCTGCCTCAGCCTTCCTGTGGGTGCTGGTGCTCAGTTGTGTTTTCTCTACTGGGGTCTGTTGGTGCTCTAAAGGCTGCCAAGGGGACAGAGGGGGGGAAACTGGCCTGGAAGAAAATCTTAGCAGTTCAGATATCAGCTGTGTCATGCCTCAGACTGAGAGACATGGTCAATAAGCACTGAATTTGTCCATTGTCTGCTTCCAAGGGCAGCTCTGTAAGATGCAGGCAGACAACTCCTGCTCATTTATTTTCTTTTTAAAAAACCTGTGTTTAAAATGAGCCTTGTTGTTCTCTCTGGCAGCCAGATGACCACTTCTGCTTGAGAGCATCAGCTCTCTTTGCCAGCAGAGAGGTACCTCTGGGGCTGTTCAGATCATTCAGAAGCAATCTCATCTGATGGTGGAAGGTTGCCAGGATGCTGCCCTGGCTCCCAGCCAGCTGAACACAGCCCTGTAGGAAGGGCCTGTGGTTACAGCCGAGTGGAAGGGACACAAGGCTCAGGCACAGTCATTTGAGAGCTTGACTCTCTGTGCTGCCAGACTGTTTGTCACATCCCAGCAGCATCTTTGCAGGAGGACAATCCTTAACTGGAACACATCCTCCTCGTTTATTTCAGAGGTGAACTGAGCAACTCGCTGGGTTTCAATTGTAAGATCTGTTCAGGGCAGGGGGAGGAAATGCCAAGCTCTGGATTCTTGCTCGTGTGATGAATAGGAGTCAGTCAGCCTGCCCTCAGTGCTGCTCCCAAGATGGTCCCTGTGTTTGTGTACAGTAGCCTAGTGACAATTGCCAAGACAGGATCTCCAGCCTCAATCTTGTCATATTCCCAACCTTTGTGAAATACAGACCCTTTCTTCTTCCACAGCAGAGCTCCTCTCTCCCCCAGAGGGGCTGTGTCCTGCCTGGCTTTGGCAACGAACCAGCAGTGTTTTCTACCAGATTTTGTTGAGCTCTGGGGAGCAGCCTGTGGGAGGGGGTGGCCTCAGTGGAGGAGCTGCTGAAGTGTTAGCTTGGATTTTCCCCCCAGGTGGAGCTAAGCTGATTTCTTCCCTGTCTTTTTGTTAGGTCCCAACGGCTGCAGTTTGATGTCTCCTCCCCAAATGGCATCCTGCTCTTGCGAGAAAC